TAATTTTTTGTTCTTTACTTCAATTAATAGATTATTATTATTATTATTATTATTATTATTATTATTATTATTATTATTATTATTATTGTATACTTTTTGAGACTCATCATTTGAAAGTTGCACTGAGAATGTTAATAAGGCTTTAAGTGTTATTTTATGCTCATGTACACATATCAAAAATGGTAACTCTATAAAACGTCCTTTCAGTTTCATTTCATATGTATTTCAAAGTATTTGCTGTCCTTATGTTAGGCCACACATTAAATAGCGAACAGAGAGTTTTGCTTTGAGAGGTCTGGCGTTTAAGATATGCCAATTTCAGGCCACTCTAAATGGTGAGGTAACAAGAGCACAAATCCAAGGTCAAACAAACAGCCTCTTTGTAATCAGAAACTAATAGTGGATTAAAGGTGTAAAATTCACCTAAATCCACACACCAACAGACTAAACAATCTCAGTGAAGTGGAGTAGTATTTGTTTTATAAAAATACTTTCGCTAGAAATCTTTAATAAACAAAACAAATAGAAGAGCATGATTGGCAGTAACATCTGCTTCTTAATTAATAACATGTTGTTTCAATGACAGATCCATGACAAATCATTAGAACTTTTTCTGTGGCATGCAATGTTATTTAATTTATAGTTTAAAAGCTTTTTATTTCTCCCCTACCACAAGCAAAGGCTCCAGGATCACCTTCCCTACAGCTCTGTCAGTTGTTGCAGATCTTACAATATATATTTCAATAAATTAATTTTCAATCATTCATACTAGATCCTGTCCAATTTTCTTAGAAAGAGAAACTTTTCATGAATATTTTCATGAAAAACTTAAAACATTTATATGCAGAAGCATCTATACAAAAAGGCACACATACAAATACATATGGATAAGGTGTAGCATTAAAAAAATGTATTAGAAAAGTTGCTTACAATAGTCAATCTATTGGGAAAGTTGTGTGCAAATATTAATATAATTGTATGAGTTTCTCTATGTTGCTTTTGATGGAAAATATATTCAAAATGGGTGTTGCATAAATAGACAACAGCCCATTGTAACATTTCAATCAGAATAGAGCTGGAAGGTACCTTGGAGGCTTTCTATTCTGTTTCAGACAGGTGGCTGCCCAGCCTTTTCTTTAAAACCTACAATCTTTGAAGGCAAGCTGTTCCAGTGGTTAATTGTCCTCACTGTTAGGAAGTTTCTCCTTAATTAGAGTTGTTACTCTCCTTAATTAGTTTCTATCCATTGTTTCTTGTCTTGCTTTCTAGTGCTTTGGAGAATAATTTGACCCCCTTTTAGAGTATTTGCACAACTTTTAAGATCTGCGCAAACTGTCTTGGTATGTGGAGTCCTTGAGTATGTATGCTAGTGAATGATCCCACTTTTTATTAATTTTAACTTTTATACCCTGTTTTTATTGTACCTACTTGTTTTTATTGTTATAGTGGGGTGTGTATGTTGAGTATGGTTGCTTGGTATATATGAGGGGATCGGGAGTGCGGCCTGGATCCCCCTCCACTGAATGCAAAAGCAGAAGTGGATGGGGGCCCGGAACCACCTCTCGTCCCGGAGTGCATGGGGTGAATGGCCTGTCGGAGAGAGCAGGGCCATGGGAGTGGAGGAGGGGTCTACAGAGGGTGGGACAGGCCGGTGCATCCCAGTTACGTTTGGGAGAGGCAGGTACGACGGGAGCTTCAGGGCTGGCCATTACCGGGGAAGGAGGGTTCACTACGTCATAGCGATCCCTTGTTCCGGCCTTGATAGCTCATCTCAAGGACCAAGTGGCAAGAGATGTCAGGGCCCTGGTCTCAGGTT